AAACTCTGACCGGTCTTATATCTACCGTGAGTGTCCACCACTTGTCTCCATCGCTCAGAAAATTTCTTGATCCTCCTCCGCCAAAACCCAGCGGAGTGCGGGTCGAGAAAGGAGGCGACCTCACTTTCGAGTTGGAGTTGATCGTCTAATTATTTCGTTCATCAAGATGATGATTTAAGGTCCAGGATAGGTGGCAGTCATTTATAGCTCGACCAGGGGAATACGCTAAGAGAGGTAAGAAATCTTGCCGCAGCTCCAGAATTTCTTACCGGGCTCATTTCGGATCATGGTGATTCGCAATGTCATGAAAGAAATAAATATTGTCGCGGTACGAGGGCTCTTGACGAGCTGCCTCGGCCAGCTTCTGGTATTCCGCAGCCTAGACCTCTACCTACACAATGGTGCCCATAACGAAGAATTGTAGTGGAGCTTCTGTAAGAGCCCTACCTGTAATGGAGTGTAGGGACGCTGCTGGCTTCTTATAAAAATATCAAAAGATCGAAAGCGCTGGTAAAGGTGAAACACGCTGTAGCGGTGAACGACATGCCTATTGAAGCTATTGCAGATAGTGTTGGTCGTTGACACGAATCCATAGTTATGGAGACATTTGTACTAGACAGTGACTCGGAGTATGGATTTACTAGTGGTCGAGGTTTTTGAATTTTCTTGGATAACTACTGACTGCAGCACTTATATCCACCTCGTGGATTGAAGCCTCGAGAATGCTCTACCATTTGTTAGTCATAAATGTTACCTATGAATTTTTCAGAAAAAAAGAAAATTTTAGAAAGAGTGTTGCAGAACTTTCTTTCCAACCTAATAAATGCAAGCTTGACTGCTACAACACAAAACTAAAATAAACTAAGAGTATATATTAAGATTGGCTCCCAACTATGCAGAAATAGCAAGAGTGTTAGATGAGTTTCAAGGAAACGATTTTTCTCCCACCAGTGTACTGGATTATGGTTGCGGTATTGGCGCAGGTTTGTAGAACTTTGCAGCTACTACACATTTAGGTTACCGCTGATTAAACCAGATACGGTTTCAGGCTTTTGGGCTGTAAATGAACGTTTCGGAGCTGCAGTAAAAGAATACTGCATGGTTGATCCATCACTTGCTCTGACTCAACTGGCAATGGATATCATGAGGGTTAGTAAGGGAATCAGTGGTTTCTTAAGTGTTTGGCTGTATGATTGCTTTTTTGAGGATCAAAATGGAAATCTTCTGCATCACAACTTGAATTTTCGTAGACACCTTGTACCTTCACTTCGGACAAAATATGATCTTGTGGTTGCTCATAGAACTCTCTGTGAATTGGGATCACGAGAATCTCGGCTTGAAACTATTGCATCGCTGTGGAAGAGGACAAAACGGTAGGTAGAGTTATTTTTCGTGGCATTTTAGCTTCCACGAAATTCTCGTTCTCACAGTGATCCAGCAGACTAACATAGGCCTGACTCTTGGTGCAACCTGCCTTCATTATCGATGTAGAAGAATGTCGAAAATGTACATTTTTTTAGAACGTGTACATTACGCTATACACATAGCGATGGCTCCCAAGGGGCTCACAAACATGCCAGTTTTTGATTTCCGTTCAGGTTTCTGGTACTCATCGAGTCTGGATTGGGAAGCGCATTTGAAGCGTTGATGGAAGCTCGTGACTTCCTCTTGTTATCCGGCATACAACTGCACCTACAAGACACGACATCTCTGCTAGAAGTAAGGGTGGCCCTTGTCTGAAAGTGAGAAGAGGCATTTCAAATAGGGAAACATAGAGGCTGTATTTACCACTTTCAGGAACACAATTTGATGACTGATCAAATCAAAGAAGTTCTTCATAACAGGAATGTCAGCGACTTAGAGCGCTTCACGATTGTGCGCGATATGGTGGGTTTCAATTACAGCGAAGCATTCTGTGCTTTCATTATTTCTTCTTGGTGAATTGAAGGTTCCTTCTGAGTTGGATTTGCCCACAGCTCTGCCTCCTGCTACCGTGTACGCTCCTTGCCCACACGATTTAGGATGTCCATTGCTCAAATCCAAGTACGTAACACATTTTGCTACGAGATTATTCCAAACTTTTCCGTCTCAGACAGTCTTGTACTATCCCCGTTCGGTGGCGAGTCATTCGAGCGGATGGCAAGCGTTCGCGAAATGAGCTATCGGGCACTGAGGTTGGGAAGTTGTCTTACGTCGTATTGGAAAAAGGCGTACGAGCTTCTCAAGACACCATTTCCAGAATACTCAAGGTGAATCCTTCTTTTATAAAAATTAACGGGAATTTCGTTTGTACATCTGTCAACATAGAATTTCTAACTGCTGCCTGTGTTTTTGGGATTTCGAATAGTTGTACGACAGGATATTCTCTCATTTTGCAATCCATCTAATCATACCTTGACCAGGGCAAGGAATAAACTGTGTTTCATTTTGGTGCATTTTGCTGCGCTTCCTCCATAGAAGTGATGCAGTATGATTTCCCTGTTTCTTTACCAACTCAGCCCTATTTGAAGAACATTAAGGGTTTCTCGTCCTCAAGGTCCATACTTTTTCTAAATCTAACAAGATTCGCTTCCAAGCTTTCTCTGTTTCTCATTGTTTTGAGGGACCTTTTACGAGATATTCCACAACCCCTGTTTACCTTGTTCAGGCGTTTGCCCTGTGATGTTCATTTTCTGGGACGGGTGACTGTTTTCGAAGGGCAAATCGAACGCTTGGCATCAACAGCTTTCAGGGTTGACCATAAGATCTAGAGGATAGTGTGTGGCATTGCGGATTAGGCACTATTACAACCTCAGTAGGCGTGGCATAGGCAAATTTTTTTCACTTAAACTTCAGTTATTTCTGGCACTGCGCGAAATTGCGCTAACTTGTTGCAGCCATTGCTTTCCCAAATCCACAGTAAATGCACGTCTAGGGACTACTCGGTGTTCTGATCCTGAATACAGTTTTGCATATCATGTTCGGGATCAAAACATCGAATAATCTATACGACCAGGGTCAACCGTGGAGTACTGCTAATTTGAAACTTTTTACGAGTCTTTTTTTCACAGTATTGCTTCATTCGGGATCACGACATACTGTAACTCCGCCTCCCCCCCCCCCCAAAAAAAAACTGTCCTTGGGCGATTTCGAAGTGAGCCTGAGGTGATGGCGATTGCTTACGAGCTTTGTCAAAGGTTACCAAAAATGATCCCCTTTCTCATAACTACGACCAATTTAGCTTCCGAAAATGACCTCTTTCGAACTCCAACGGCCCTTTACGACTCGCTCTCGAAAACCACAAAAATGTCTTCCGTCTAGATCGGCTGGATGGACAGCGGCCATGTTCTTGTTTCAATTTTTACGCAATAGGTGCTCTGTACTTCACCAATACCGTGTCTACGTGTCCAGCACAGTACCCTATCCATAATTTTTCAGATACGACCGGCAGATGGCCACGTGACCTGTGATTTGTGTACCGCATTCAAGGGAATTCAAAGAGTAACACTCTCTCGCAGAGCCGGCGTCCTCTACCAACGGACTCGAACACGTCGAGATGGCGAACTGTTTCCTCTTCAGATGAAGACCGTAACTACGGAAAACATGTTCGACCTATCCGCCTCAATTGATAATGACGAGAACACGGAGAGCTAGATTTGATTCATTTGTTAACTTGGGTATTGTACTTCAAAACATCAGAAAAGATCTTGTTCAGTTGACTAATCAAACAATAATGATATTAGTCGTAAATTCTACAACAATAAAAGTAAACTGTTGAGGTTTACTGCAGCAGGTAGATATAGGAGACCGGGAACCAACTGCATATTTCGTGGAATATTTCATCAGACAATTTGTTCTAATCTGTTCTAAACCATATCACCTTATCATGAATTGGAACGTAAGGCGAATAATGACATTATTTGCGAGAGAAAAATTCTCTTTAGTTCTTCAACATCTATTCACAACCCGTGAATTATTTCTTAAATACTAACTATGAGTTCCACGAGTAGCGCAGAGACAGACAACTGTGAAAATTTTAGAGATAACACATCTCTGTATAACAAAACAAACTAGGAATAGCTAGATCACATGATAAAGTGAGTGCGAATCCTAGCTCTAACTAAAGAGTAACATCGTCGTCTATTTTTAAAGCACTCAAGGTGATATGGGCGTCGTTGAACCGTCTGCACCCTTGAAAGCATGAAAAACTTTCTCCTGCATCTCATGAACTTCTGCAGAAATTTTCGATGAGATATCCGTGTATTCCTTCTTCAGCTGATCTATTACCCACTCGACACCTTTCCTTCCCTGTAAAATATCGTTTGTCACAAGGTGATATCGACTGCTTCCACTTTAATTTCTGTGAGACAAAAGGAGGGATGGCATGAAAGCGTCCATAGGAGATTACCACGAGTCCTTTACAATTTTCCACGACCAGCCCCCGTTGACTTGCCTCATGACGACGAAAGCTATATACGAACCTGCGAACCGATAGTGCATTAAACGCTAGTTATCATTCGATGACGATATTTGATAGTAATTTCGTCACACCAACTCCTGAGTCGCGCGAACGTGATTGCGTTTTGAGAATTTTCTCACCCTACTCAAATTCTAGAACCTGGTAGATGTATAGTGGTCGGTCGGGTCTAATTCGGTCGGAGGACTACACAACATCTTACCAGTGATCTCGTCCAGAGTATGGAACGCTTTTTCAAAACGTTTAGTTGCATGCTATTGAAGTTATC